GCGACTCACCTTCTCTGCCCTAGGAGCTTGGGATGGCGTCGGGGGAGCTTCGTTCTGTGTTCTAGGACCGGCTCAGCTTCTCTCAGAAACAAAGTCTTTAAGTGACTAGTACAATGGAATCACATAATTCATTTCCATTACGTAACTTCCTGGCTTAGTCACTCTGAATGACTTTCCTCCAAACCCCTGTGGCTGAAATCTATGGAACCTGTCATTTAGTGGGGTCAGTGTACATTGCAAACTGGAAGAGCACAAGCCTTTGACTTCTCTGGGGTGTGAAGAATTTCAGGAAACAACCAGAAGAAAGGTAGCCTTCTGTATGATGGTGTACTTAAGCAGGATCCTGCCTTTGTGTAGCTAAAGATAGTCCTGCAAATTTCACAGCATTCTGCAAACATTAGCCAGTTTGCAAGTCACCCGGGTAACGCTGCACTGCAGTGACAGGGGGCTGGGAACACAGATGTCTTGGCCCTTTGGCTGATGCCAGAGTCAAACTCCACGGGAGAGACCCCACTTATACAGGGAAGAACAACATCACCTTGGACATCCCATGTGCCTCTCAGATTAGAAGTCTCATTTTTGTACATTTATATATTATTTTCATCTCCTTTTTCTCATTTCAGATTTCTTAAGCCTCTTAAAAATGTTTCTTTCTCCCCTTTTGCTTTCAGTTTTATGATCTTCACTTATTTCTTTATCTTAGTTCTTTATCTTTATCTCTTTCCATTCTACGAATCAACATTTAATAGAAAACGGTGATGTTGGCTGTTTGTGGAAGAACTTCCCTGGGCAGTGGGAGAGACATGTTGGCCTTTGAGCTCTTGTAGGACATTCCAAGGAGAGCCTGAAATGCTTGGCTCTTTGGTCAGTAAATCTCATCAACGTGAAATGAAAGTTGAGTCACACTTCTGTGTTTGGTTGTTACCTTAGGATAATGAAAGCTTTTGTTTTGTGGATTTAATGTATGGAAATAAAAAAACCCCTCTAATTCAAGACTGTTGAATGGTTGGGAAACCATTGTACCTTTGTCACCATCCTGCTGTACCAGTGCTGTTGAAATCTGACCACTATTTAATAAAAGGGCGCCATGTGTTTTTCTTTTTTAAGATGCCCTCATTGGAAAGTTAGCCTAATATCTTGCTTTTGCAGAACTGAATTCCATATTTCCTGGAAGAAATCTCAGACATGGAATAGCTATCTTTCAATGGAAAATTTAATAACCTGTGTTTACAAAGCCATCGCTTTAAATTTCCTTTGGCTTATTTTACCTGTCCCCCACCCCTCAAATGAGCATTCATATAGGTAACATCAGACAAGCAATGCACGTATCTCTTAAAATTGGCATTGTTTTTACTAAACTGATTCCTCAGGGCTCTCAGTTATATTTTTCATAGTTTTAGGATCTTCCTAAAAACTCTTATTACACCAGATATAAGGTAGATAACAAGGTTTTATAACCCCAAAGGAGCTTTTTGTTAAGCCATCCAGAGAGCGGCATGAGAGTAATTAATACAGGTGTGAAGAGACACCATAAGGGCATGATGGTTGTATTACTCTGCAGCATCCCATTCTAACCTCCGCCCTGTTGTCTCCACTTCCTCCTAGTTCGATCTAACACATGAGTTCCTTTTCTTTCTGTACTGACAGCAAGAGACTGCAGGGTACATTCGGGCAACTGAATACACATAAGTATACGGGTAAATTAGAGAACCCTGGTGAGCAACATTTAAAAAATTGTCAGTACTTAAAGGGCACAAAACTGGAATTGTGACATATAAACTGTGAATATCAATGTCTTAGAGAGTCTGAGATAGCTTTCAGAGTCCTTTCCTGAAAGTTTTTCCCTCAAATATTTTAAGGTGGTTGTACTTTGTGCATAAATTTGAAAGTTCATAGTTAAATGGTGCAACAGTAGATTAGAACTGACTTTTTCTTTTTAAGAAATGGTTGAAGGTGTTAATATTTAAAATTTAGAATAAATTCAAATGATAGTAATTAATGAAGAAATGATTAGCCTAAGTTCAGGGCTATCAGCATGGGATGTATAATCCACATCACTGATTTATGCACGCGCTGGAAATGCCCTCAGTACCGAGAGCTATTTCCTTCATTGGGGAAAGGGCCAGTTGGCCAGTGGTCTCAAAGCTGCAGCAAGGAGATTGTCTTTGACACCTCTTCTATGCCGGGCATGCCTTGAACATGGTGGACAGCCGTAATTATTGTTAACTGCTGGAGAGACTTACTGCGTGACAGGCAATCAGTGTGTACATCAGCTGATAAATATTTGCTGAGTTGAAGGAGGGAATCAATTAATGATCAATGCCTTTAACTTCCAACACACAGAAAAGACTCCTTTACTCAGCTACTTGAGGAAGGCGCCTCGATACTTACGGGAATTTCATTATTTTTCTCTGTGAGTGGATTCTGACAATATCCTTGACATCTCTTGACATTCAGTGCTTAAACTGATAATCTTAAAAGTGGTCTTTTCTGAAGTATTTGGTGTTTAGTGATGTTTTATAATATGCTCCACGTAAAGATCTTGGCAGTTCTCCTTGGTGCCATATCTGGATATTAAATACAACTTGTAACAATGTTGTGATATAAAGTCACTCAAGAGATAATGAAAGAATACCCATTCAGCCTAATATCATGATCATTGGGGTAACACATTAAGGTTTTGAAATATTCTGATGAGTAAATGTCTTTAAAGTATTGATGATCTCAGGTATCATTAGAATGAATTTTCCATTTATAAAATATTATTTGTAACACCCAAGAATTCTAGCTGCTTATTATTTTTTTATGAAAGTGTCCTGAATAAATCAGCCCATTACAATTGCTTTCTGTAATCAACTTGATTGAACAAAAATGGCAAACTGTTACAGATTTAATAGCACATGTGTCATACAAGTTTTACTAATGTGTTGTATAATTATTCAAAACTTAAAGAAGAGCATGTAACTAAAATTCCTTCATTTTTAGCTCATGTTTCTGGTTACAAATACTTAAATACTGAGAGAAACACACAGGCATAGATGTCTTTGGGTTTTGTGGGGTTTTATCTAGCTTCTGTGTTGGTGTCTGTAGAAAGCAGAGTTCTTCATAACAAAAACTATGTCTTTTGATTGTCGGAATTGGTAGTGAGGGCAGCACACACCAAGGGAATATCATTTTGACACTTTCTTCACATAGAAGGATGAGGTTTATGAAATTCAGTAAGTGGTCTGGTTTCTCAGGCTTTTGTAAAAAATATGCATCTGACTCATTTAGCCTCGACTTACAGTTAAAATATAAAGAATTCTTATGTTCTACAGAAAGATTCTTTTTTTAAGTTTAATTTTATTTTTTCCCCATTAAGTTTATTGGTACATTTTAGGTATAAAATACAGTTACATACATCATTGGGATCTTGCACCATTACATGAGTATCTTGGTTCTTATTTTTTCCCCTTCCCCTGCCCTCCCTTCACCCCCTCCACCCTTCCCTATTTGCAAAGACTTTGTAACCCAATTAAATTCCTTTTTTTTTTTTTTTGGTACTGGGGATCGAACTCAGGTCTTCGTGCTTGCGCAGCAGGTGGCGAAACCACTGAGCTAAATCCCCGGCCCCCAATTAAATTCCTTTAACAGCCTTGTTTTTCTTTTGGAAAAAGCCTGAAAGAATTACATAGCCAAATAAAAACATGATTTTTTAAAGGTACTGTAGGAAATGTTTGTTTTGTCTTTATGTTCCTTTAACACACATCTGCAACAGAATAACAAAAATGTTAAAAATATAATTAACTGCACGCTAACATTTATTTTCTATAGATGTTCTTAATTCCTGCGCTTTGGACTAATCTTGAGATAGGTTAGAATGCCGCTCCTCAAATTTCACTCACCACCCAGAGTGGCCCTTTGCCTCAGAAGCTTCTAGGCGAGCAGGAGGCAGCGTTTGGGCTGGGAGGGTGTTGAGGCGGCTCTGAGAATGTGTGTGTCCCCCGCAGCGCCTGTGCTCCCCGGGGCTTACCAGCAGAGCCACTCCCAAGGCTACGGGTACATGCACCAGACGAGCGTGTCTTCCATGAGGTCTATGCAGCATTCACCAAACCTGGTAAGTGTCGCACCGCAGCGTTCCTCCCTCCCTGGTCTTCCAGTTTCGCCTCCAATATATGAACGCATGTAGAAAACAGGTGGATTGAGTAGTGATCATTTTTCTATACAGCTAAGCGATACGGGATGTTTGCTAAGGGATTGCTAAGTGACCATGCATGTGGCCATCTGTGCCACTCTTGCAGAGGAAGCAAAACACTTGCAGAGGCAAAGCATTGAGACAGGAAGACATTAATGAGCATTCCACAAAACAGGAACACACAGAAGGGACCTGTCAGTACCGTATCATAAGGGTTCCTTCATGATTGGTATTAGCCAGCTTTGATTTCATGTGGGCCTAAAAAGCTACAAATATTTGATGATCCTAGAATGAATAGGATGATCTTGATGCTCATGAAAATTCCCTTGGAAGCTTAAGTGATGGGGCCAAAATAGCTAAGAGAGGATTTTGAATGTTCTCAACACAAAGAAATTATATGTCTGAAGTGGTAAATAAGCCAGTTACCCTGATTTGATCATTATAACAAGGATTTATTTGTACCTCAATACTCAGAATATTTATATACTACATTTCTGTCACTGTGATACAAAACTATAAAGTGAATATATTACCAATTTTTATTATGTATATAATGTATCTATGTATGTATGTATGTATATATGTATGTTTGTTACCGCAGATTGAACCCAGGGCCTTTGCACTGAGCTACATCCCCAGCCCTTTCTTATTTTGAGACAGACTTTTGTTAAGTTCCCCAGGCTTGGTTCAAACTTGTAATCCTCCTGCCTCAGCCTCCTACCTATTTTATATATTTTTGAGGGGAAGCTCATTGCCTCTGCCTGGGGATCAGCGGCAGAAAGCCAATGGGACCTGGACCTGTCTGCCACTATGGAAGGTTTTGTTTCCTGACAAATGTAGAATAGAGAGGAGGCTACATGGCCTGAGGTTTCTGGGATTATCTGAAGATGGAGGAATTGGCTTTACTCTTTCAAAGCCTACCAATTGACAGCTAGCTATTGTATTTATTATTTTCCATTATTGTCTTGTATTTTCTTTATCTCTGCTCTGACCCTTAAATATTGTGGTCTTTCCCTAAACTAATGAACTTGAGATCAGCACAGTTAGTTAGATACCAAGCTTTCACTGATGAATTTTCCAAGCTAGCCATGCTTGCAAACCTTCCTCAGAGTGTGTGTGCTTTGGTTTGTCGGGACCGGGGTCTGTGGCCGAGCCTGTCTTGGTATTCATTCCTGAACCCTTCTTCCTTCTCAGAGGACCTACCGAGCCATGTACGACTATAGTGCCCAGGATGAAGATGAGGTCTCTTTCCGAGATGGAGACTACATTGTCAACGTGCAGCCCATCGACGACGGCTGGATGTACGGCACGGTGCAGCGGACCGGCAGGACGGGCATGCTCCCAGCAAACTACATCGAGTTCGTGAATTAGTTCTTTCCCCCGCTCTTTGAGCTTTATTCTAATGTATTCTAAACCTAATCTTTTTAAAACCTAGACGATACTTTTAAGACAACTCGGCAATTATTTTCCAATAATGTATCCTTACTTTGACAATTAGACACAAGGTACCAGGAAGTAGGAATGACTTTGGGCTGAAAACAGCATTCTCAGTAATTCCTGTGAACAAGATCCTGACATCCGGAGACCTGGTGCTGCTAATTGTGTTTGTGGTTTCCTTTGATTGGCTCCTGAACCCTTCTGGAAAATGTTATTTTTGTAGACTTTAATAGAGATGTTGGTTGTCCCTAGTATGTAATGAGTGTATGAAACTTCTTAGCTTTCCCTTTGGAATAACCAGAAACAAATTCTCTTAACTCAGCAACACAGCCAATAACTTACAAACTGTTTAGCTTTTGAGTCATTAGGCAATTTCCAATTCAAGTGAAAATTGCCTGATATAATAAATGTAAGCAGTGGCAGAATGACAGTCTGGTGAGAATCACACTCACCAGTGGTCTTAGGGACTGAACAGGAAATGTCCTTGTTCCCTAGGCCCCCTGGGGTCTGTTTATGTCTCCTTTGTACCAAGGCATCTCCTCCTTTCCATTTACATTCTCTGGGCCTGAGTTTATGCTTGGTCCCACAGAATGTCAGGACCAAGTAATGTCACAGTTACTCTGCAGAGGGCAAAGTTCAGTGTCATCTGTATTCTTTCCCCTGTAGCCTTTACCCTGTTGCATGTCCTGTAGGTCTGGCTTCTGTTACTAAGGCAAACCACATGGCTGATATCTACAAGCCCTGTCTGTACCCAGTTACCGGCTCATCAGGAAAACATCTTTAAAAATTGCTTGAGATTTTCTTGCTGTATTGCACTCTAGATTTGAAGGACTGATACCTTAGGAAATACATATGCTAGTAAATAAGTGATTTAGGTATTTCCTGAACAGCTTTCATTAGCTTAATGCCACTTTTGAATTGAAAGCAAAGAAAATTTAACAGAACCCAATGAAATATGAAATTTGGAGTGTACTGGAAAAAACCCAAAACCCAGCAGATGAGTTTGCTTTTCACAGAAATGACCTGGTTTCTTATTTGAAAATGATACTCAGAGTCAGGAATGGAAATCTGGCTGCTAAGACTGGTTCATCAAAGAGACTTCCTTTCTATTCTCTGGTTTTTCTTTTCTAAATTACCCTCAAAGGATGAGATAGGAATATCATGAGAGATTTTTCAGGGCAGTCTCCAAAAAAGAAATGATTGTCTTTTGAGTGACTTCTCAGGCTTTGGCTAGATTCCCAGCCACAAGTGTAAATCAGGCTGGATTTGCTCAGCACCTGCAGCGAAGGTCCCTGATAGACTGATGTCCATTGGCAGCTCTGTGTTGCTCCGATTTTGCCCTTTATTGTGACTTGCAACAGGGTAGGATTCATGTAGGGTCCGACTGTGTCGTGATGAAATTGAAAACAGCAAAGGGACAAAAAATGTAATAAAATGTCTTGGGGGAGTATCTACCTTGTGTGTTCACAGAGATTAACAAAATATCCTGTTAAGACATCTTTTATTGCAATTTTTACTGATCTAAAGGCCAAAGCTGGTTCATTTGCACCTTTGAAGAGTTAGCAAAGTACTTTTCAAAGTCTGTACTTTCCTTTTATTAAGTTTAAAGAACAAAATAAGCTTCATCACACTAAAGCTGTATCTACATGGCACCGATATAAAATTGAAAAGAGAAAAATTCAGGCAAATTACTAGAGGCTTTTTTGGAAGGGATTTTACAGATTACCAAATAACCAGCCTAGCTGACTTTCCATCACTTAAATGGCCAGTCATGATTAAACTGATTAAACTCTGTACCTGTCTTGATGTCTTGTATACAGACCTAATAGTGCAGAAATCTGTGCATTAAAATAAAGGGCAATGAGCGTGGTCAATTTTCTACATATGACTTTATAGTTAGTTCACCAAGGCAGACCACTTTTTGTATGTGGTTATAAAAAAAGAGTTGTTGTTGATTAAGTTTTCAGACTAAATGTGGGACAGGCACAATTTTGCTAAATAGTGCATGTATAGGAAGAAAGGAAACAGACTTGAAATAATGCTTATAATCAGGAAAGGTTCCATACAGCAGCAGCTTGTTATTCCATGTTTCCTCATCCACTAATTTCAAAATCAGATTCACTAAATGTAAAAGTCAAATACATATTTGGGCACTATGTATTGTGCCCTAAAATTTTTTTGTGTGTGCCCTAAAATTTTAAGCTATACCTAATGTTTGCATAGCAAGATGTTTCTTCTTTAAGCCTTTAGGAATTAAGATCTGATCAGAATTCAAGTAGAGTGTATTTATTTTCAATAAAGATGGAGGCAGATCAAGATGTTGCATGCTGCTGAGGTTTATCCCTTGATAGTATTGGAATTGTTACTAACACTTGTCAGCAGAGTAGAGAAAATGTATGTGTGTGTGATATCAAAGTGCTACTTTTACCGCATCATTTAAAAAACCTACATTCTTGGACAACTTTTCCATTTCCACATGCTTCCCGCCCACCTTCAATTTGATAAACAATGCTGACAGCTAAGAAAGAGTTTAAAAGCAAGTCCTTTAAGACTGAAGTTAAAGAAGACTGTATCTGCCAAGCACAGAGAGCATGCCCATGTTCCCCAAATAGACTGGAGAAAAGCAAGGAACAGTCGGATACCTTTTCAAAAGGTTCTGAAAACACAGCTGTGTGCGGATCTTCCTTTTCGAGAAAAGCATAGCAGCAGAATGCATTGCTTTTGTTGTACGTTTTTGCAGTAAATGTTTTTACTAATTTCTGTTCTCCAGAAAGCTCCCTACTTCTAACCCACAGCAAAATAAATTCTTTATGTCTTCCTGTTACTACTCACACATCCACAGCATAGCCCAGATGGAAATATTTATCTGGTTGTCAGCTCCCCGTGCAGGTTCACCCTCTTCCCATGCCTCCTGATCTCCACAGACCACACAGGAATTTGCAAGCACAATTCCCATAGGCCCCTTGTATAAATATGGGTGAGATTAGAACAGCCCCTCTTTTGCCACGAGGTACATTGCTTAAAGGTGTTGATGATGTGGCTTTGCCAGTCTTACCATAGTCTTTCTTTTCTGATCCTCTCCGTCCTGAGCTTTATAACACTCTGGGATTTAGGAAGAAGATTTTTCCTTTTAGAAGAGAGACTAGAAATTCAAGAGGTGCACCTTGTTTTCAGGTTCATTCAGGTCCAGTAGAATGTTTTTAATGAAAAGATAAAGAAAATGGGTGTGATCTTTAATAACACATCCCTATATATGGTAGATATAGTTTATACCAAAATTACAATACATATATATAAAATAGGTGCCTTTTTGATTACCCTTGTTTATCCATTATAGTCTTGGGAAAACAACCAAGCAAGTGAATTTCTGCCTATTCTATAGTAATATTTTATTATAAATGATTGGTATTTTTGTGGTGGGGAAGAGGGGTGCTCCTGACATATTAAAGGTGATAGCTCATTGTATTTTACCATTAAAGGTTTAGAACTTTAGAAAATGCTGACTTCTTCCATCTATTTCTGAAAAGTTCTTTGTGGATTTATATATAGTTGAGATGTATAAACATTAAACCTTAAGTTTGGGATTTAAGATACGTATTGTATGATAAAATAGTTATGTTACAAGGCTGAATTCACTGTGTAAGATGAATTTCACTTCGCAAGTTAATTTCACCTTAGCTGTTTGCTTCTGATAATCTGAAAGTGGCTGGATGGTAGACGTGGGTAACCTGGCATGAAGATGCTAAAGCTTTAGTTAAGCAAGAAGCTACGTAAACTAACTTAAGGTTGCTAAAATGCAAGTCTCTTTCTCAAGTATTCCATGACTGTTAGGACCCTTTCTAGACAACTAGGTATCAACTATTGATAATCAAAAAAGTCAAGACAAAGTGAAGACATTGCCATCATCCTTCCATGATCCTTAGACTGGTGGGACCCACAGGTGGGTCTCCTCCCTGGTCGTCCATATTCCTTCAGTGTATTTATGGGAACTTCATATGCCTTTTGCGTTTGATATATGGTATCCAGTTTGTGTAGTGCACACTTTGTAATCCAGTTGTTGTTCAGAATGATTTATTTTTAAAGGAGAAAGAGAAAACTGCATCGCAATTCCATTCTTTTGTGTCCATATAGTGAATTGCCTAGCATTTTGGAAGTAGCACCAAGTCTAACAGGCATGGTACATGTGGGACTATTGGTCTTTGACCTGTGATAAAAATGCAAACTTGAACCATTGTGTAGTTTGGCTTCTGTTTGCTTCAAAATATGTACAATTATGGTTGATTATTAGCTTGTAAGTCTGTACCAAATTTGAGAGCATTAACAGTTTTGAAGGAAACATTAAATGTTTTTCTAATGAAGGGGCTTACAGAATGATACAATGTTATTAATATAATTTGGCTTTTGTTATGCAAATTGTTAACACCAGCTATTAAAATCTATTTTAGTAGAAATGCTTTAACTCATGTTTTTTTCCTCTACACTGTGAATCTTTAAGCCTTGGCGGACTAAAGAAAGATCATGCTGCCCAAAGGACTTAACCTATGCAAATGAGTTCACGTTTTCGTGGATGTCACAGTAAATGCGTATTAAGACATCATTCCTCCTGCATAATGTACAGCAGCATCGGATAACACTGTAAGCCTAGCATCCCGTGTGTATAGTATAGTCACTCACAAACCGTTCAAGATGACCATCCTCACTAGTATTAGTATTTGTTTGAAAACAAATTGCTTATCTATTGAAACTACCTGAATGATGTCAGAATGGGACTGACAGATGGACGTGTGGGCTGTGGCTTTCCCGTGGTCCGTGCAGATGTTCTCCTATGATAGAACTGTGTTCTCCCATGCACTCCCTTCAGGGCCTTCTATTCTGTATTTGTAAAACATGATAATGCATTCATTTCCTATCTATCTCTACACATTTGGTTTGCTTAAATAAATGCAGGATACAACAAAGTGGTTCTACTTCTTGGCTCTCACCGTGGTTTCTTGGAACGTGGGTCCTTAGATGCAGGTACTGCAGCATGATGATACCTGGGAATGAGGTATGTTGTGACCACTCACATTACACGCATGGAGGATACGTGTATCCGCATGGCTGTGGAGTGTTTACATTGACACGTCATTCAGTACATTTTCCTCCCCAGGATTAACTTATTTTCAGGTGATGCCAATCTGATGCTTTCTCAGTCTCAGATTCTTTCTGATTTCACATCAACCTACTGCAATAATGCATTGTTGGAATGAACTTCTTTCAAGATTAAATTTCTCATGTACCCTGACTAGTTTCATTCCAATTATTTTTGTATTTGTCAGATGACAAGAACAGCTTGGCACAAAAAATTTAAAAATGTACAAATTGAGAACATGAAGAAGAATGATACTCAGGTTTCTCAGTTAAGAATCACATGTCGTAGGACATTTTCCCCTAATTAAAAAATGAGTTAGTCCCTATTTTTTACCCTTATATAAATTTCAGTGGATTGGATCTTAGCCTTATTGTATTATTTTCTAAAGTCCCTCTTTGGTGCATAATCCTTACTAATTGTAATCTGATAATCTTTGCAGATGACACTGACTCATAAACACTTCTATCAAATGATAAATTGAATTATTTTATTTTCCAAAAGTATGAATGAATCTCTTTATGGTATCATTAAACAATACAGTTATTTTTATTTGAAGAATTTATTGTCTTTTCTTCTGCTAAGGAAAAAGTTTCATGATTATAAATTAATTCTTTGGAACCTGGGCCACAGAGAAAATGATTAATTTGGGAAGACTTTTTTCTGACCTAAAATAAGTTAGGTTTAGAATATACTATAATTTTATTTTCCTGACTTAAAGTTGTGTAGAGTTAGTTTTATAGGTGATCATATCATGAGTAGCCACCAGAAGCCTACCAAAACAGCTTTCTATGAAAATACTCAGACATAATAAATTGAAAAGTAGATAAAAGGAAAGTTTTGTTCCTTTATGTAATCTGCTTCTCCTTCACAGAGGAATTGAATAAGAGTTTTGTGATGGCAGAAAACTGGATTTTGTCCAAGGGTGAACTTCAACTTTTTTTCTGTAATTTGAAGCAAAATTCTCAGGCTTTTGTCTATTATACTTCTATTAGAGAGAAGTAGAGTTTTGATGAAAAGATAGAATGGACTTAAAGGGTGAAAAGTCAATATTAGAACAAAGGACCTAGTCACCTTGTTGCTGATTTTGTGTTTATACCATGGCATTTTGATCTTTGCAGCTTTTGTCTTTTTTTTTCTTTTTTGAGTAGCAAACATGAAAGAGACTAGTAGGCAGAAATGGAGAAACAAGCAAAATCTGAGTTCCTGTTATTCCACTTGAGAAAATAGGGAACATTTTTGTATTCCATGTTTAGTTATCAGATTGCTCTTTAATGAACTAGTGTCTGGTTCTTGACCCAGGATAGCCACGCTTCTTACTTTTTTTTTAATGTCCGAGGGCATGAGGTCCAAATAATGTTTTTCTATGTGGATAACAATGTTCTGTCCCACACGACATCATTTCTCTGGTCACAACTGACTAGAGGTGACCCAAGAGGACTTCAGCTCAGCTCTGCTCAACTGGGACAAAGGTAACTTGGCCTACTCAGATTTCCCTGAGAGGGCCTACATTCAACATACAGATCAAGTTGGTTAACTGGTTATATTATTAAAGACTAAAGGACATAGGGAGAGGAGAGAAAGGCATTGAGGAAGTAAAGGCTGTAAGTAAGCAGAAAGTGTAAGGAAAAGCTACGAACTGGAAGAAAGATGTTTAGAGTAGACCCAAGAAAAAGCACAGTAGGAGGTTGGTAGTGGCAGGAGCCATAGAGCAATGGGATATGAAGAAACAAGTGTTAATGATGGCATCTTTTTAGGGACACCAACTCCTGCTGCTGGCAGAGAGCCCAAACTCCATCCCAGTCCTGGGAATCCCACCCATCAGGAGGTCACCTCCTTGGGGTCCCCAAGTGCTGGTAGGGCCTCTTGCCAGGCCATCCCACGGTTCTTCCCATCTTTGCATGTAAACCTTTATTCCTTGAGATATGTTCAAGGGTCTCTGTGTGTCTTGTGATCGCAGAAGCTTCACTGACAGAGCGTCCATTTATGCCCATTGTCACAACCTGTAGGTTTCATGTTCTCATATCTGACAGATGAAGGAATCCTTCTTGACAAGAACAGATTTCATGAATGATTTTCACAATTTCCTCCCAAACCAGACACCAGATAACAGATGTGACTAAAATACCAGTTGCATTATCAGAGTTATGTCATATAGGTGGGTGTTAAGTTTTATTGTTGTTTTAGGTTTTGAAAAATTTATTATATGTTATATATTCTAGTGAAAATCACTTTAGGTAGTTGCTGGCATGTATTTCCTTGGACCCTGTGAAAAGCAATGATAATTAGTATCAGACGAGTTTAACTTTCACCTGTAGGTCCATGCAAAGAAGGATTTAGGGATTTCCAGAAGTTTGACAAGGAGGGGATGGCTAGGGCCACCTTAGCGAGTATCACAGGCCTTGGTGAGACAGCATGAAAGCTGGATTATTTCCAGGGTTTTATTAAGAAATTATTTTCCCAGGCTCACTCAGTGTTAGCTCTTTATTAAGGTGGAAGAATCAATAACTTTAACTTATTCATTCAAAGTATATTTATTCAGTGTTTATTCAAGACATGGAACAAAAGAGCTTTCCTCACAAAACATTCAGATTGGTAGGGGAAGACTGATATTAAACAGCTGATTATCTGCTTTTGCAATTAACTGCTTAATTCCAGTTGTGCAGTTGGCATGAAAGGGAAGCGCATGGAGCAATGAGTTCTTGGGACTGGAAGGGGTGATGGGCACACTCGGGAGGGGACGACAAAGACTGTGCTGCTGCTGTCTCAACAGAGCCCTGGGAGCTGCTCGGGAAGGGGGTCAAGTTCAAGTTCATCTTAGCATGGGACACATGGGAAAGTGCAGTTGCTGGCAGTCAAGAGAAACACTCCGGCTCTTCTCTCAAACTGCGACCGAACTGGAAAGGCAGGTTTTTGTATTTTTAATAAAAGTAAATTCTCCATGGACAAGTCAGGGTATATGTGCCTGAATTTATGTCTACACACACCCTTTTATCATCTACTCATGACTTACTCCCCTTTAAAAAGACTCAACAGGCTGCAGAGTTAATTATATAGACAGAGTTTCACTGGTGTGGAATACTTCCTTTCCTTTTTTTTGATAATTGGCTATTGCATAGGCTTTCCTGTATCTTTGCATCCTCCCTGAGAATTTCCATGTGTGCTTACGGGAGCTTATTGTAGTCCCATCTGCAGCACAGCTATTGATTAAATGCTGCTGTATGCTGTTTTAGATTTCACAGATTCAGGGTTTATTATTCCCATCTGAGATGTGACATGAGTTAGTTATGCCACATTAACTGGCCAACAAAGGGAAAAATTATTCCCAATGCATGGAAGCCGTTGGTATTTATTTAGAATGAAACCTTGGTGTCAGGTAGATCATAGCTTTGCTTACACTATGCTACCAAGACTTTTGAACATGTGCCTCCTTTAGAAGTCCAAAAATATATTTGTCTACTTTATCTTGGGCAATTAAATTAACCATTGAAAATATTTTGGACATATTTGCATATTTGATTCCCCTAATGAATGCCTGCTAAGATTCTTGTGGGACCACTCACTGATACTTACCAACATTCCCTGGCTACAGGAACATTTTTTTTTTTTAGAAAGTTTTTTTCTTTTACTTCCAAGATGGTGCCACATAAAGTAATTTCTGGACTATGACATCTTTTTTATTTTTATGTTTTAAGTAGCTCCGTGGTTCATCTGTAGTATCATATTTATATTGGAATGTGCAGCTTCTTCTGCATGTGAACCATTTTCCCACTGGTTCATGTTCAACTTCGTGGGGTTGTGAGCACAGGACAGGATGTTTTGTGTGTCAGTCCATGCAGCAGCGAAAGTGACCCATTGGGCTTCCTCCTGTCTGCTGCCCTCTCCATCTTCCATGACCCAAGGGGCAGGCAACAACAGCCCCCAGGGTAATTTAATTTCCAAAGAAGCAAACAAAAAACATCAAGGGTACAAGCACAAGTAATGCTATTATGCCAACTTCTTAGTATAGTTTGAAAGTTTCATGTTTGAAAGCCACTAGAACGTCTCCAGAACTTTGAATGGGGCTTCTGGTCTTAATATCCATTACTTGAACAAGACTGAGGCCCTACCATGGTAGCTGCCTAATCTGTGACCCCTAAGGATTTGGCAGATGCAATGAAATTATATTTGTTCACAGAACAAAGATATAGGCTATGATTGACGGGAGCGGACAGAGGCTGGTCAGCAGTAAGAAGTCCTAGTGCCAAAGATGACCAGTCAGATACAGGCGTGTCTGTGGGCCGACAGCATTGTTGGCTGGGAGGGGAAGGAAGCAAGCTTTCGAGGCTCAGGCAGATCTGAAGCTCTCAAAGTCTCAATGTCTTGGGAGAAAAACTCAAAGAGTTTTACTTTCAAATGGAATTGGCTCTTTCAAAGTCATTTCATAATGAGAAGTAGAATCTCCATGTATTGTTTTTCTTCATCTTTTCATGCCCTTGAAGGTCAGTGAATCCACAAGATAATACTGCACAGTGTTTTGAGCTTAGCCTTTGGGGTTGTGGAAGAACCCAGGGAAGGCTGAAAGTTGACTTCCTGGAAGTGCTCAAATTGGGATACAATCCTTGACTTTTGGGTTACGTGTTGTAGATTTTTTTGAAGTCTGAGAAAGCTAGGGAGATGTGAGGAGAGTGGGCAGACACTCTGTTCTATTGTTTGCCTGAGTAGTTGCATGCTGCCCACGTCTGGGCCGGCAGCAGTCAGTTGGACCTTGTGTGCTCTCTGTCCTGGGACCCATAGATTTCCAGGTAAACAGGTGCCTTCGGTTCAGTCTCTACTCTCAGAAAGACGTGGCACGGTGGT